TGATTTCATATTATTTTGGAGTAATTCCAGACATTCACCATTCAAAGTGAATAATTCAATATTATTCTCGGGTAACTCCAAGGCATTCACCATTCAGAGGAAAAGACGTTTGTTTTGTTTTGCTAAAACTGAACTCAAGCTATATTTAAAACACTGCTGTATTTAGAAATAAGTTTGTGAATTTTAGGTATCTTAGAATGTATATTGCTTGTGGGTGGTTATATTATATTCTTTCTGTTTATACTGATAACCTATAAACATTTACCATATATTTTGTCTAAAAACTTTTTCTAACTGTATATATTTTTGGTAGAAATTTTTGGTAGAAATTTCAGAAAATGCAGAAAAGTATGAAAGAGAAACAAGAAGTATAAAGAAACAAAAAGAATCACTCATATTTTAACTACCTAGAGGTAACCATTATTAACACTGGTGTGGTTTCTCTCAGCCCTATTTCTATATGTATGTGTGTAGGCACACCTTATATCAAACATAATATATATATTGGCATATATATTATGTGATGTGCATATATTGTATATATGTAAATGCAAATACATATACATGTATATTATATATATTATAATCACACACATGCATGTTATCACTTACTGGGTACACCAGACATTTGATTTCCTTTTTATGCATATTGTCCCTGGTAATCCCCTCAATTCTATGAAAAGATAACATTCTCATTTTTTTTAAAAGATTTATTTATTTATGCATACAAGAGCTTGGGCACAGGCCAGAGGTTTGGGGGGTAAAAGGATTCACCAGAGACAAAGTGGGGAACAGAACAGGCAGACAGACTGAAATACACTGCTGAGAGGAACAGCAGGTGAGACAGAAGGGGTCTCCTGCGCCATGTGGGTAGCTCCCTGGCGGGACAGGGATGGAACTCGTGCTGCAGAGGCTGCGGATAGCTTCATAGGTTGCGTCTTAACCCCTTGCGCCAGGGAGGCCCCAATATTCTCATTTTAATTTTTTTTGATGTTTTAACAGTTTATTTTGAAGTCATTTTAAAAACAAAGTTAAAGACAGTCTGAGAAAATTGCACAGAATTCACTCATTAAATAAGTATGGTGATTAAATCAAAATAAGGGAAATGTGTTTTCTTCTGCAAGTCCAGAAAAAAGTTCTGCTGTTGTGTAGGTTCTTATACTTCCAAAAAGGGGGGGGGGGAATCATGGCAATTAAAGCTGCCTCTTAATCATATAAATCTACAGTAGAAACCAAATTTTTCTGTTCTTCCCAGTAAGTCAGTTTTGATCTTCAAACTGTGCCTTGTTTTTTAAAAGATCTGATGCTAGAAATTCAATGGGATTTGGTGGTCTTTCCTTTGCAAGCACAGCAAGTCCCTATAATAAGATAGGTACAACTGTCTGATCCAAATAGGCACAAATTGGCAAAGACTGGCGATCGACCTTCTGTTTCGATGACTTTTCTGCACTAATCTTCTCATTTTCTACTATCCTCTCAACATTATCTGTGAGACCGTACTCAGAGTGAGGATTTTCTGCAACCTGTGCCTGTCCCTGCAGCATCTGCTCGGGCTCCATGGTGCACCCTGCAAGTCACACTCTCTGATCACAGTCCGCGCCCAAGCCGTTTTTTCCTAAGAGCTCTCCAATGCTCTCGTTTTAGATAAGTACATTGGGGCTAGGATTATTAGTTTGCCTAATGTCATTAGTTGGTAAGTGGTAGATGTGAGATAAAAATCTAGAACCAATTCTAAATCATAACCATTATGATCTAATCTTAACCATTATGCTTTATGATTATGTATTTCTACATCTTCAAATGATAATTTTTTAAAGATTTATTTTTATTTATTTATTTATGCATACAAGAACTGGGGTGTAGGCCAGAGGTGCAGGGGAGGGGGGATGGTGGCGAGAGAATTCACCAAATTGAGAGTAGAGAGCAGAACAGGCAGATATACTGAAATATATTGCTGAGGGGAGCAGCAGGCAAGGCAGCAAAGGTCTGCTGTGCCATGAGGGTCAGCTCCCTGGTGGGGCATCAAACTCATGCTGCAGTGGCTGGTGATAGCTTGATAGCGCTGAGATTTTAACCCCTGTGCCACCAGGGAGGCCTTATTTCTACATCTTTAATCAAATTGGAATTGTTATAGAAAAAATTTTGATGCTGCTTTTTGAATTTTTGTTATGTCTAACATTTTATATCCTTCACTAATCTAATTTTAATGACTTTGTGATATACCATAAGGTTATTGAAAATAATAAATGGATGAAAATAATGAATGAATGAAGTATTTATTATTTATCACATAATACTCTGGGAAAGGATTGGGTAAACGTTCTGACGTTTCCAATTCTTTCTGTCATTTGAGCTTTTTAAGATTTTTTTTTCAGATTCTGCACGATTTTCTTTCTCTTTTAAAAAAAAAAATATTTATTTTTGTGTGAAAGAACTGTGGTGTAGGCCAGAGGAGTGGGAGGTGAGATGCTTCACCAGAGACAGAACAGGTAGATTTACTGAAGTACACTGCTAAAGGGAGCAGGAGAGACAGGAGAGGTCTGCTGCATCATGTAGGTTAACCCCCTGGCTAGGGATAGACCTCAGGCCATAGTGGTGATGGTGCTGAGGCTTAAGCCCTAGGCCACCAGGGAGGCCCGATTTTCTTTCTCTTGTCTCTTACTATATGGTGTATGTATTCTTTGTTTTTTAAATCCTGCTTCATACTTTGAAAGTTATACATCATATAATTACCATTAAATTAAAAAAAAATACCTTATTTTCATATCATAATGAAATAATAGCTCCTGATGTCTCCTGTGGAAGATGGGGTATTTATCATACTTTTATTTCCCTTCATTCTTTACCTCCCACTCCCTAATCCTCCCAGTTTGGTTTTTGTTCATTACAGTCTGAACTTTTAGTCCTTGATGATTTGTCAAGGAAAAAGAAATTTCCTTTTTTACATCATGTATTTTCTCTTATAAGAGGTATTTGAGACATTTAAATAAAGCGCTTTTATGCCATTGCTTCCTTCTTTATCCTTGAGTTTTAATTCAGCAGCCTAACTTTGAGCAGTTTTTTTCTTTCAGAACAAATAACCTGGGTGATATTCTTATTGAGTTCTTTATTCAAAGACTTTTTATGGAGGTCTTCACAACTGTGTGACTACTTGGCTGAGAAAGAAATTTTAAATTTTAAGTATTTACCCTCAGAATTTTGAACTATATGCTGTATTGATTTGTGACTCAGAAAGTTGTGAAATTCTGGGGCTTCCCTGATGGCACAAGGGGTTGAGACACAACAGCACTATGAAGCTGTCCGCAGTTACAGCATGAGTTCAATCCCAGGCCGGAGAGGTGACCCACATGGCGCAGCAGACCTCTCCTGTCTCGCCTGCTGTTCCCCTCAGCAGTGTATTTCAGTCAGTTTCACCACTTTGTCTCTGGTGCATCCCCCACCCCCACCCCGTCCCACATCTCTGGCCTGTGCCCCCGCTCTTGTATGCATAAATAAATAAATCTTTAAAAAAAAAGTTGTGAAATTCTGAGGACAGCTTGAGTTTAATTCCTTTGGAGGTAATCTGTTTTGTTTTGTTTTGTTTTTCTATCTGTTTTCTTGTGGGTTTTTTCTTTATCCTCAAAATATTAAAAAATAGCTGGCTAGTCTAAATATTGGCTTCTTTTTTTTCATTCATTTTGCTAGCGAGCTTAAGTCTTTGGAAAATTATGTTATTGCTTCTATTCCTATCCTGCTTTTCCCCTCTGAGTTCTTAATATATTTAAATAATGTATTCAACAAATATTTATTGAGCAACTATTCTATGCTTGGCACTATTTTAGGTATTAGGGATATATTATTAGGGAATATAGATGCTGACATTTTTGTTAATTAAATGTCCTGAATTTGTTCTTTTTTAAAAAAGATTTATTTATTTATGTATACAAGAGCTGGGGTATAGACCAGAGGTGCAGGGTCAGGGGAGCAGTGAGACGATTCACCGGAGACAGAGTAGGGAGCAGAACAGGCGGATTCACTGAAATACACTGCCAAGAGGATCAGCAGGCATGACAGGAGAGGTCTGCTGTGCTATGTGGATTAGTTCCCTGGCCAGGGATTGAACTCCTGCTGCAGTGTCTGCCAATGCCTTCATAGTGCTGAGATTTACCCCTTTGTGCCACCAGCGAGGCCCTTGTTCTCTAAATTATTCACTTTTGTTCTGATTTTTTCAAGAGGACCTCATCCTTTGAGTTGCAGCATCTTTTCACAGTTCTGTGGTTTTTCTCCATTTGTTCATCTTAACATAGAGATGTCTATGTTTGTCCATCTTTGGTTAATATTTAAGTAGGAATTGCAATGGATTCTATTAGAGATTGAAATGGGTCTGAGTGTATACCCTGACCTCTTTTGCTGCCCTCATCCAGCCTTCCATCCTGAGTAAGGGGATTCTTTGTGGAATTCTATATGGGTAATAAAGTATATATTTTTAAAGTTTTATTTATTTATTTATACAAGCACTGGGTACAGTCAGAAGCGCAGGAGGGTGAGAGAATTCACCAGAGCCAGAAGGGGCAGCAGAACAGGCAGACTGACGAAGTACACTGCTGAGGGGAGCAGTGGGCGCAGCAGGAGAGGTCTGCGCACCATGTGGGGACCCTCACTGGGGGCTGGGGTTTGAACCGGTGCTCCAGAGGCTGTGGGCAGCTTCGCAGCCCAGCGCTCTACTGCTGCACCACTGGGGAGGCCCTGGTAATAAAATATTTTATAGAAGATCTTGAACTAGACTTTCCTTCTAAATGAGCCCTTCTATATACTAACTGGCAGAAATACCTCAAAGTTCCTAGCATATGGAAGGTTTTTTCCTCTATTTTTATTCCTTTGATTTTTTTTTTCAATGTGAATTTAGATTGAGGCAATTTAGAAGACTGTCCTTACAAAGCCATTTTATTTAAAAACTGCAAACTAGTATTTTATGTTAAGAGGATTAGGAAAAAATATTCAATACTCAAAACTGTATGTTGTCTTGAAAATTTTCATAAAGGGTCTCAAACCCTTTGAGAAGCTATATGGTCTACTAGGAGTCAGGAGACTGAAATTTGATTGTGATATGTAATTTCACTATGGCTTTTAAAAAAACTTGAACTTCAGGTTTTCTAATCTTAGATCTTCTGACATCATAGTGTGATAGGGAAAATTCCAGAAAAAGAAAATGTGGAAGTTCTTTGAACTGTTCAAAGACAGACAGTAAGGAAATTGAGGATTTTGTGTTATTGTTTGAATGCTATTACAGTTTTGAGCACTTTCAACCTAACCCTGGGATTGTCCACTTGAGCGACAGAGAATGAGGTCTGGTTGCTGGGAAGTTTGGGTATACAAAAACCATTATGAGGTATAACTGGGATGGGACATGGCTCTGAACTCTTGTCATGTGCTGTAAAATCCAAGAGAATGGTAAATGTGGACCTACTTTTCTGGGTGTAGGTTAGACTAATTTCCAAGAAATGAAAAGTTGCAGAAGTGATAGGCTGTCGCTCCCAAGTTTAGACCACAATAAGATTGTGGCTTCATCTTAAGTGTTCCCTCTTGTTCTGTTGCTCACTCTGAAGGAAAACAATTGCTATGTCATGATCTGCCTGTGGGGAGCTTTCTGGTGAATAGTCAGTGAGGAACTGGGTCCTCAGTACACCACCTCACAAGGAACTGAATCCTCCAACAACCACATAAATGAGTTTGGAAGGAGATCTTCCCAGCAATTTTATGAGAGGCCTTGAGCCAGAGACACCCAGCCAAACAGCCCCAGGATTCCTGGCCCTCAGAAGTTGTAAGACCATAGTGTTTCTTTTCTTTTCTTTTCTTTTTAAAGATTTATTTATTTGTGGGGCACAAGCTAGAGGTGTGGGGGCTGAGAGGATTCACCAGAGACAGAGTGGGGAACAGAACAGGCAGATCTACCAAAATACACTGCTGAGGGGAGCAGTTGGCAAGACAGGAGAGGTCTGCTCACCACGTGGGTTGCTCCCTGGCCAGGGATTGAACTCTTGCTGCAGTGGCTGCGGATAGCTTTATAGGTTGCGTCTTAACCCCTTGTACCACCAGGGAGATCCGTGTTTATGTTTCAAGGTAAATTATTATGCAGCAATAAATAACACAATACCAATCATCTGACTTATAAAAGACTAAAAACACTAAAAGAGAATAGGAGATAAATAAAATTGATGTGTTATTGTCTCCATGATTACAATATTTATTTTCTCATAAGTTTCTTAGACATTCTTATCACATAGACTGGATTCCCTATCAGCGGTTAATTTTATATACTTTATGTTAATTCTTATGAGTTTTATTTTCAGAAAGTGATCTCTAGGTCACTGGTTGCATCTAACTATGGACTCCAACAAAGGAGTATACATATGACAAATATTTATTGATTTATTCATACACAAAATGATTTTGTCTACTGGAGACTCAAAAAAGAATACAAAATAGCCTATTAATATCTTTGGCCTTTATGCTGGTTTAATGTTCACGGAAAATTGTAACGAGAATTCGTTAACTTTTTAAAAATATTATTTCCTTTTGT